TCACATCTTCCGGACCGATGTCCGTGACCGTGAACACCGTCTTCTCGACGTGCTCTCCTATATGCATCCGTAGCACTGCTACCTCCGAGATGCTTCTGTCCTTGTTCAGGGTGCCGTCAATGTTGTACAGCAGAATTGGTTCCTTCAACTTCCGCGTTTGCACCTTATTTTTGATAATGAATCGCTTGTTGATAAACTTTGTGGTGGCTCCGCTGTCCACCATAGCGATTATGTCCTTGTGCCGTCTTTTCCCTTGAAGTCTTACTGGAATGTGAAAGTGCTGGGACCCCTGGTCCAACTCATACACCATTGCAGAAAACAATACATCGTACTTGTTACATGATACTCGCGGCCCGATGCGTGCGGCACGAAGCGCGGACCGGATCAAAAACCCTCTTCTTTCATCGCCCGATAGTGTTCGAGCTCCTCGCGCATCGACTTCACTTGTGCCATTAAGTTCGCCAGCTCCGATTGCTCGGATTTCGCTAAAGCGGCACTTATACTTGCCGAGGGTGATGTCGCGACGGGGGCGCTTGTTGCCGCCTGGGTTGAACCCGAGGCAACCGTAGACCGTGCGTCGGCGCGTTTTGTGTAAGGCTTGTCCTTACAATTGGGGCACTCGAAACGTCGGTACCCTTGTTTCCCACAGCCGAAGCATGTGCCAGGGAAGTTGCCTTTTCCGACGGCCGCATTGATGTTGGCCGAAGCTGCGTGTGACTGGGGTGCACCACCACGTGCCCCTCCGCGTTCTCGACCTTGGGCCGAGAAGAAGTTATTTAGCTCGGGCCGACGGGCCCGGCTGATGTCGAGAATCTGCTCGACCTCCGTGGCACGCTTCTCAGCTGCTTGCCACGTGGTGAAGGTCTCGAGCTCGATCTTCCGGTACACGCGGGAGGGGATGCCGCTCAGGTACTTGTCACGTAGCTCCAGGTCCCCATACCCAGAGCGATCCGCCGGACCCTTGAACAGCGCGGAGAATTCCGCAGCGGTGCGTTTTTCGCGGACCGACTTGTCCGCGCAGAGCTTTGCCAGCTCTACTTGTGCTGCCGCTTCGTCGTCGAGATTTCCGAAGCGGGCCCTAAAGGCGGCGGCAAAGGCCGCTTCGTTTGCGAACGGGGTCGTAGCCCCTTGCACACCCACCTGCACCGATGCGAGCTGGGCAAAGTAGGGAGTGGCCCAGGCGCGGGCGTCTCCATCGAGCAGGCTAAGGGCGACCTGCACCTTGAGTTTGATGGTGGTCAACGACGTGTTGACCAGCCAGTAGATGCGCAGCTGCGACAAGAACCGGTTGCATTCGATGACGGTCTTGCCATCGTAGCGGAGCGGGAGGAGGAGTTTTAAAGTCTCCTTGTCGGGGGCGGCTGCAGGGGAGGACATTATCGGCGTCGGGGGGGACGGAGGACGCTGCGGGGGTGGAGGCGGCTGTGGTGGCCCTCCGCTGGTCGAACTTCGAGAGGAGCGAGTGCTTGAGCGGCCTCTCGGCGGAGTCGGCGGTGAAGGCGCCGAAGGAAGTTCGGCGGGGGGGTTACGTACGTCAGGGACTGCTGACGCGGGGGCGAGCGCTGTCGGCGAGGCGGACCCAACAGAATCCTCGGACTCGGACTCCGAGACTCCTTCTTCACCTGCACCCTCCTCAGGCTCTGGCTCTGGCGCAGGGTCTGGAGGGAGATTTCCTCGAGCTTGACTGGACTCGGCGACAGTTTGGGGAAGGCGGGAGGTAGGGGAGACAGGGCGAGAGTGCCGCAAGGCAGATCGGGATGCGAGGGTGCTTCGGGGTCCGAGCGGGTGTTGCGCTCGTCGGATCGCTTTGTATCGAGGGTAATCTTCCTCGATCGATTGGGGTGTCCGATTTGGGCACGGCTGCTGCTCGCAACGGTAGAGGATAGTCTCAGGGCCGTCTGGGATGTAGACGTCGATGAGGTCCTGGGAGTCGAATGCGTGGATCTGACCTTGGCAGGCAGCCACGATGGATGGGGGGAGGACGGGAAGGTGCGCGTACTACGAAAGGCTGTGGTAGACTAGCTTACACCTACGGCGCCCGAGATGACACTAGGGTTCGCGATTCACGTGGGGCCCAGTACTGCTTTTGACTATTATGCAGCAGGAACCTAGTCCATGCATCCGGTTAAGGACAAGCACCGCCCACTGAAGTGCAGGTGCTGAAAGGTTCGTTCCCTGAGTGTTGGCGATGTAATGTAGGCTATCTACGTATCGTATAGTATCGTAAGGGTGCGCACCACCCGACCTATGGGAAAGGAAAGTGTGAGTATGTGGGTTCCGAGAGAACGCCGGTCGCTTGGGAGAGTTTCGACCTAATGTCGCGACTTGAGGTCAAGCGACAGGAAAAGACCTAGAAGCGAGGGGCATCCGACTGGTTCTCACCGAAGCGATGGTGAGCGAGGCTCAAACCTAAGGCTAGGGACAAGAATGTATTAGTTAGTAAGTAAAGGAAGTAAGTACAGGAGAGCTTACTGACCTAGGGACAAGAGGTCGAAACTGAGGTCCCTAGGGCAGCAGAGGCCGGCTTATATACAGGGGAGGTTAAGGGCAGGCTGTGCGCATTGGTCCGTGCGCAGCTGGTCCGTGCGCAGCATGCTGACGCGGCCCCGGGGGCCGGTGAGTCAGAGCGGCTGTGTCAGCGGAGCCCGAGCTGTGCCGTGCGCTGCCGCCCCATCTAATCTAATCGTACAGTAGATAGTGATGCGTCCATATCCGGTATGTAGTACAGAGGTCGCGGGTTCGAGCCCGCGAAAAGGAAAAAATTAAAAAACAGCTAGACGCCGTACCAACTCGTGACACCTTAGGTTTGAGTGCTGCTCACCATCGTTTCGGTGAGACTTAGTCAAACGCCCCCAGCCTTTAGGTTTTCTCCTGTCGCTTGACCCCAAGTCGCGACAGGGTTGGAACCTTCTGCGCGAACCCAGGAGCCGCCTTGAGGATAGATGGAAGTCCTTCTTGTGGTGGTGACGAAGCAACGGTCTGCTTGGTTGTACTGGAGAAGAGGAAATCCTATGAGGGCTGGTAATCCCAAGGGAACCAGGTTTACTGCATTGTTTGATGTGATGGTGGATGAGTTGTTCGACTAGGTAAAACTAGGAACATAGCTTTAGAAAGCTCAACCTTTTGATACAACGGTCTATACTCCTATATCAATGCCTGACTCGTAGACAATGAGCGAGGGCTTATGGACAGTGCGTCTTCCAGAAGATCGAGTGAGGAAGTCAAGAATGACCACTACCTCAAGCAAAGAAGAGCAGAGACTTGAATGAATAACCAGGTCGAACTTAGGGTTTGACCGACTAATGGTACAACTACTTATACAAGTACTGACTATGCATGGACCATCATGTCTATATGGTCGTGTTAGTGAAGAAAGAAACGTAGTGGTATGATGCCGAGTACAAAGTGCACACGGACCCCATTATGTAAGCTACATAATGTTCAACCTGCGGGTGAGCACTAAGATAGGCACCAGTATGGGCACTAGTAGTACAAAGAATAGAACGGAAAGACAAATGTTTCAATAATGGCATAACGTGGGGTTTCAGATGAATATTCTGTGGGAGCGTACAACAGGACAAAATAATGTGTCCAGTCAATGGAGG